AAATGCATGTTCCAAACCACCAAACAGCAACTATATCCATACCTGTATTGCATGCTTATATATATATATGACTAGGGTAAACATCCATATCTACAACTGGCTGACACCATGGCTATGAAATGGTATGAACCATTTCAACCATGTCGAAAATAAAACACATCTGGATGTATCGAGCTGAAACCTGTCGTAATTCATCAACCTCAAGTAAGGCCTTCTGGTGACACCCCGATTCACCTAGATTTCTCCCTAAAAAATCACCATTTCATCACATCCCGAGGAAAAAATACTTCCACCATGGCTGGAGTCGCCAGAAAATTTCATGGTAAAACCCCAGAAATCGAACTCAATGGGCCGGTTCTTCTTCCATAGCTAAATCACTAGAGGGTTATCTGATCTGGTTGGTGGTTGACCTACCCCTCTGAAAAATATTACAACGGACAACAACTGAAAAAAATTATTTGAATAAGATAGAATATGTTTTGTTTTACCTGTTTTATTTGGTTGGGAAAGCAGTTAGAATACCTCGTTTATTAATGCAGATAGAATATGAAAAAATAACATTTTCGTAACAATAGATAACCATTATTTTGCAATACGTATCAGCATTAATGCAGATACTGTAGAATATGAAAAAATAACATTTCCGTAACAATAGATAACCATTGTTTTGCAATACGTATCACCATTAATGCCAATAGAATATGAAAAAATAACATTTCCGTAACAATAGATAACCATTATTTTGAAATTATTTTGCAATAGGTATCAGCATTAATGCAAATAGAATATGAACAAATAACATGTCCGTAACAATAGATTCATATTCTAAGTGCATTACATATTCTAAGTGCTAGATTTCCCCCAAATAAAATCAACGTTCGGAGCTACTATTTGTTTATTTGTTTATTTAACAAATCTTAATTTTTCATATTCTAACTGAATGTCCGTAACTGTAATCAGTTGGGCAGTTGGGATTATTATTCCCAATATATGGGAAAAAAAATGTCCCAAACCACCGACCAGTAACTATTGAATCACCACTTGATAACATCACATACTGCCAGAATGATCATCAAGATAGCTGATAATGACTCCAGGTCAGCAATAAATCTAAAACACAAAACTACAAAAAGATCATCGAACAAAACTACTGCGTCATGTTCATCCATTTTCCATATATGGGGATGTGTTAAAACCTTGTACCCCTGTGGTTCACATCAAAATAGCTGGTACAAAGGACGTCAATCCCCCTAACAAATGGTATTTATAGGTACAGCATGGGGCCCTCCAGTTAAAAGTTGGTTTATAACCCGATCCAAATATTGTTATTTGCGTATCATACACTATGGTTATTGTAGTTATAAACCAACTTAGCTAACGAACTGGGGCCCCATCCTGTATTGATCCGCTATACTGGTTGGTGGTTTCAACCCCTCTGAAAATATGAGTTCGTCAGTTGGGATGATGAAATTCCCAATATGATGGGAAAAATAAAATGCATGTTCCAAACAACCAACCAGTATATCTCATTAACCATTAGTAACCTTTTTTACCATTATTAACCATTATTAACCATTATTCACCATGATTAACCATTATTAACCACCATTATGGCTGTTCCAAACCACCAACCAGATATATGTTATGATGCTTTGTTGATTTCCCCGAGGCGATGCATTCGACCCCATGGCATGTCTCCAGTATACGGCCCAGATGGGCGTCGCCTGCCACAACTTCCGCACGAAGGACAACCTGTCGCGGCTCATGTCCTTCGCTACGGGGGTCGACATGCGGGCGATTTCTTCAGTGAAAATGGGAGTTCATCATCCAAAATTGAGGTTTAACAATGGAAACATATCATAAAATTCTGGATTTAACATGATTTTAACCATCAGAATTTGGGGTTTGAAGAGTAAAAATGGGGACTCAACCATCAAACTCTGTCTTGAAGCAGCAAATTATGGGGCTTTTATGGTGCTTAAGCCAGGGAAAACACGGATGACATGGAGAATATCATGGGAATATCATGGGCATAACCAATGTAAATAGGGGATAGAAAAACGGCTACTGGGGGACCCACCAAGAAACGCCAAAAAAACCTTGGTCCAATCATGTTGACCCATGGCGGTCTGACGGTCCAACCGATGATAATCGTGCCATTTTCCCTAGGGCAAACATAGAAAAGATGTGGAAAACCAATGGTTTTTTTCTAGGAAAATGATCGAGAAAATTCTCGGTGGAACCCACATCGAACTGTCCGCTTGCAGGAGGGTAATTCAACATTCTGGGTATACTATGGTATACTGTATATATCCCACTTTTGGACAAACTCACATGTTTGACGGTTTCACTTGTGTTTCTTGGTCCAAGCCAAGTAGCAAAAAGTTAACGTTTCGAGCAGCTGACTCGGAAGTATCCAACATACCTCACCATGTTGTTGACTGAACCCCTCATCTTTACATCACTGATCCTGGACACCCCTATCAGAATGGCACGAAATATGAAGCACTACATGTCGAAGCAACCAAGGTCTACCCGTCACAGTCCGTCTCCTCAATATGTTTAAACCCCAAACAAGTGATACATAATATAGTAATTCGGCAAGTCGCAACCATTTTTGCTAAAGATCTGCCACGAAATTCTGTCTTTTGGGGAACTAAATCATGGCATTCCCAAACACTAAGCGCTGCCTTCATGAGGTGAAGAACAAGGTAGAACCAGAGCACCAACAGCTCAAAGCCTGGGACGCCCCATGTGGCCCCCACTTTCTGGTCGCTCCGAATCTTCATCCAATCTTGAGGAAAAATCGCCAGTCAACAAGAGGTTTTACATTTAAAAAAAATGCGGTTGCATCTGGTAAAGAAACATGACAAAAAACAACAAACATCCACATTTGGCTTGGGGGATATTCCAGTGCCGGGTTGGATTGCCATCATATGGATTTGTCTTAAAGTTCCGTACACCCTAATTTGATGCTTTGTCATCATGTTCAATATTAAATGCACGTTTTATGGGTATCCCAATTTCCAGACACACCCATGTGGACAATCGCAAATACTCACGGCAACAGGTTGATTTTGGGTGCTGGAACCCCCCCCATCTCTGCAACACCCAGAAATTCCCGCCCCACTAAGATGAAATACCACGAAAACCTGGTAGAATGTATTGGAGCTATTCGTGAATTGGAGGCCAGAATGAGGAGTGTTGTTGCTTGTTTTACCATTGACAGTTGGTATATGTTTACACCAATTTCTGGTTGTCAACGGTCTTACATTACATGATTCTCGTCGGCGAAGGTGTGGTTTTGATTGGATAAAACCGGTGTTGATTTTGATTGATTAAAACCACTTTGCTGGTTTGACATGGGTTTTATCCCAAACCTTCTTGGATTTTGATTAAGTAATCCCAATTCTTCCATTTGGCAAAGCCCAATCAATTTATCCCAAGTGTTACCCAAATGCAGCTTATCTTTGCGACAATTTCCAGTTTATTGGTTGAATCATATTATTTTCAGTAGAGTTTCCTGAAAAAGGCTCAAATTGTTGCGCAATGGGTTGGGATGTTGTTTTCCAGTTATATGGTTGCATGGTCCCAATTTGAAGGCTATATGATATTCCAAAACCAGTTAAATGCGGTCCCATCCTGAGATGAGTCAATGTGGCAATTTAACAAAAACAACAGCGCCTTTTTTTTCGGGAAATGGGTTGGTTTTATACCACCCCCACTTGGAGGGGTGATGTGGTGATGTTTGCCGTCCAAAAATCCCGTAATTTGTTCAATCCCCAAAGTACCTAATGGGTGGGTTCCATTTTCCCAGGTAAAAAGCTGGGATTCCCAATCTCACTAGGCCTATGCAAGGGAATATCCCCACAAAATATGGCCAACAATATGGTACAGTAAAGGATCCTTAAATTTCCATTGACAATCGTTTCCCATCTTTTCCAAGTGTTTCTACTTTTCCAAGTTTTCCAGTGTTCCCCTTCCAAAAAAAGAAACACCAAATTCCCCAAGAAATTGCCATTTTGGGGGCTAGCCTACTTTATGACAAAACCATGTCCTTCCCCAAAATCATCGAAAGTTCTTGGATTTGCTTGAGGAACCCACCAAAATCACACATTTTCCATATAAAATCCCACGACGTCACCATCTTTCTTGGTTACCCTCTGGTAAACGTTTACATAGCTCTGGAAAATCACCATCTTTAGTGGCTACATCAACTATAAGTGGCCATTTTCAATTGCTGTGTAACAAATTACCAGAGAGTAAATCTCAGGGTTTTCCCCGTGCGATCGGAAAAAATCCACCGGACCGCATTTCGAAACGCGGAGCTGATGGCGCCCCCCGGCCGGAAGACGGCGCTGCGGATGTTGCTCTGCGTGATCATGGGCACCTGTGCGAGACATGAAACCAAGCAGAGTTCATGACACTAGTTATGGGGAATATAAACTATAATCCCAATTCAATGGCCAGAGGATCTAACAACTAGGGAATTCATGGGATATTTGGAAGATTTACCAACATTTTTCTGATTTTTCCGGATATTTCATCAACATCTCATGGGGATATCATGGGAGAGGAGGTATTTAGGGATTCATGGCGGAGATGGTTTCCACAAAATTTTGGGGATTTACCAACCATTTATGGGGATAGAAGGATGTAGCTAATGGGACAGATTGGATAGATACAAGCAGCCAAGGATCGAAGCATTTGGGGAATCGGTTTTATGTTATCAAAGCCGGCAATGGAAAAGTAACATGCTTAGTTTTGGGAAATCTACAGCATCGACAATACAACTAGAATGAAACATATATATATATATATACATACTATGCATATTATATTATATCATAACATATCATAACATGTCATATTATGTTATATTATATTATGTTCTGTTATATTGTATTATGTTATGTTATGCTATGTTATGTTATATGATCTTATCCTATATTATATTATATTAAATTATATTAAATTATATATTATATTATATTAAATTATATTAAATTATATATTATATTATATTAAATTAAATATTATATTATATTATATCATACCATATTATATCATATTAAATCATTTTATATTATTTTACTATATCATATTATATCATATTAAATCATATTATATTATATTATATTAAATCATATTGCATTGTGTTACATTATATTATATTATACCATATTGTATTATGTTATATCATGTAAACATTAAATTATTTTGTATTACGTTATATTATTTTAAAAATATTACATTACATTATATTATATTTTATTATATTATATTATATTAAATCATATAATATTATATTGTATTATGTTAAATTATGCTGTATTAGGTTATATTATATTGTATTATGGTGTATGAAATTATATTAAATTATATTAAATTATATTATATTCATATTATATTTAAAAATAAAGTATATTATATTATATCATATTAAATCACGTCATATCATATTAAATCATTTCATGTCATATTATATTTTATTTTATTACATATATGTTTATATATATTATTATACATGTATATATATATAAGGGTGTGCTTATTGTTTTCCGCTGTCAGGCTAGATTGCCAAGAAGGAAGGAACAACATCCAGGAGGTGTCACTTATTGATAGGTGTACGATACTAAATGAAAATGTAGCTATTGATCGAACAAAAAGGCTGAGATCCTAAGAGAGCTGAGGATGAAATGAATCAGCAAAGTCACCTATGAACCCAGGATTTGCTTATCAAACAGAACGTAGTGGCTGGTGGGGACGGATTATGGTGCAGCCCGGGGGCTCCCTCCCTTCGCCGGGACAAGCGCTGAAACCGCATTACCGGAACCACTGGAAGCGCTCCAATGAGCACATTGTATGACATATTCCATATGGACAGAATCACGGTGAGAAGATCTGGATATACAGTATGAGTCTTGGCATATCATGACTCATGATTTACATGATTTACCCATTTTAGTTCCTTAAGTTAGTATACGATCACATATTGGCGTTCATTACCTACTCACGGACGCTTTTTTTCAGCGTTCCGAGATCCCTTCAGCGTATCCATCCCCTATCCAGCTCGCCAAATCGCAATCGCATCCACATCAGCACCATCCACACACGCCCAAGCAGTGAAGCCCAAGTAGCTCACACCTGCCGTGATGCAGTCCACTGAGCGAATTACCCTCTGGTTATTGAACGGCTTGCCAACTGGACAATCACCATTTTTGATAGGTGAATCAGGATAAATAATTCATTTCTGTGGGCCATTTTCCATAGTTATTTTAAGTAACCAAATGGTACAATTGCGTACATCCTGACCTCGTGGAAAGATGGGTTCTGCACCTAGATTCTAGAAGTTTCGGGAAAAGCCCTGAAAATCTCATGGGTGATGATCATGTGGATCGTTGTTTTCCCCACTGAAATCAGTTTCAATGGTATGTGTAATGTGTCCCCAGATGGTTTCAGTTCCAACCTATTCAGCTGCTTTCTTTTGCACTGACATGCGCTTACATGTAAAGGAACTGACCCTGGACACTAGAGCTGTCACCGCCACTGTCTGGATTGCCCCATGCCACCACGGTTCCATCTACCAAAATCGCAGCAAGGGCGTTGTTCGTGCCATAAATCTGCTGAACGTTCTTGAGCTGATGTTGGACTCCGGAGCTGTCACCACCCTGGAGTGAAAGGCCCCATGTGACTACAGATCCATCTACCAAAATGGCAGCAAAAGCAAAGGCTGTGCTATAAATCTGAAGAACATTCTTTAGCTGACGTTGGACTCTGGAACTGTCACCACCACGGTGTGGATCGCCCCATGTCAACACAGTTCCATCTGCCAAAACGGCGGCAAAAGCACGGTATGCGCCACAAATCTGCTGAACATTCTTTAGCTGACGTTGGACTCTGGAGCTGTCACCACCATAGGCTGGACGGCCCCATGTCAAGACGCTTCCATCTGCCGAGATTGCAGCAAAAGCAGAGCTTGTGGCACATATCTGCTGAACATTCTTTAGCTGATGTTGGACTCTGGAACTGTCACCACCACTGTCTGGATCGCCCCAGGTCACGACGTTTTCATCTGCCAAAATGGCAGCAAAGGCAACAGATGTGCCAGAAATTTGCTGAACGTTTTTCAGCTGATCTTGCACTCTGGAGCTGTCACCACCACGCTCTGGATCGCCCCAAGTCACCACGCTTCCATCTGCTAAAATGGCAGCAAAAGCACAGCTTGTGGCACATATCTGCTGAACATTCTTTAGCTGATGTTGGACTGTGGAGCTGTCACCACCATAGGCTGGAAAACCCCACGTCACCACGGTTCCATCTGCCAAGATTGCACCGAAAGCAAATCGTGTGCCACAAATCTGCTGAACATTCCGCAGCTGATCTTGGACTCCGGAGCTGTCACCACCATTGCCTGGAGTCCCCCATGTCACCACATTTCCATCTGCTGAGATCGCAGCAAAAGCAGAGCTTGTGGCACATATCTGCTGAACATTGCTGAGCTGATCTTGGACGCTGGAGCTATTGCCACCACAGTGTGGATCGCCCCATGTGGCAATTCTGTCACCTCCAACACACCACAAAGCAAACGCACGAGATGTTGCAGCTAACTTTGGCTGCTGTGCAATAGCAGAAATACTGTCTCCATCTCGAAGCCCAGAAAGTGCAAGAGAACCTCTTGGATCTAAAGGACGCGCATCAGGCGAAGCAAGCCTCAGGAAAGGGTGCCCCAAAGTCTTTTGTGAAGCTATCTTCAGCTCAACAATGGGTTCAGACTCCAAGACTGATACGCTTACGCATCGTCCACTTGGCATGGACACAACAAGATTGATGTAATCGTCACGCACCCGACCACTCTCAAGCAAGCTCTCCATGGCACTTTTGCTGCAAAGGTGCCGCTGAAGACGTTATATGGTCCGGACAACATCAGTGTTCTCTTCCTCTTTTCTGTCATGCCGGAATATATATATATATAATATAATATATATATAATATATTTTATATATATATATATATTATATTATATATATATTATATATATAATATATATATTATATTATATATATATTATATATATATATTATATTATATATTATATATATATATATATTATATATATATATATTATATATATATATGTATACACATATCGCGCAATCTACATAATAATCCATAATAATCTAGAATAATCCAAAATAATCTATAATAATCTATAATAATCTACAATAATCTATGATAATTTACAATAATCTGTGATAATCTATGACAATCTATCTCTTATATCAGACTTCCGTCCCATATCAGATTTCTTGGACGATTTTGGGGATGATTCCCCCCAATCCATGGCTTCATCTCCTCTTGAGTTAGAGCCAAGATCGCCACGTCATCCTTCGGCAGGGAACTTAATGCGCAACCAATGCTTTAAACAAAAAACAAGGTGGTGAAATACTGGTGAAATGGCAACTTTGCGGGTTCAAATCGGCTTCATTGAAAAACAGTGGGAACCATATTCTAATTTAGCAAGTAAATGTCTCACTATTTATTTATATATATATGTAAGGGAATATCCCCACAAAATATGGCCTCATATGGTACAGTACCTCCAATTTAGGATCCTGAAATTACCATTGATATATATATATAGAGAGAGAGAGAGTGGAAGGGGCATGCCATTTTCCCCCATGTGAAATGATTCTGTCCCATCATTTCCCAATCTCAAGAAGAAATCGGACCAAGAAAGCCTATAGGGGGGGTCCTTAAAATGGGGGATCCCCAAGTCACCATGCGTTTCAATGCTAAGTCATGGTCATTCGTGGTTTGGATGATTTGGGAGTAGCTTTCAGGAAACCTCGACCTATATGTACCTATTATATACCCATGCATATACCCATCTATGTGCCCATTCATATACCCACTTATGGTTGGTTAGTGGTTGGTTGCTTAAATAAGGCCAGTATATGTCCGTTTTATACATCTTTTCACCTGTTTCCCATGTTTACAGTCACCATAAACCCATGTTCATCAACATCATTGGTTTATATAAACCCCATGAAAACTAGAAACATATCTCTATTATATATATATATATACATGTGACTATACGCGCAAACCCCCCAGTTCGCCCACACAACTTCTTAGGGTTTTTGAAGGAATAGAAATTCCGACCCCCGCTAAACTTTACATTCAATTGGGAAGATCAACAAGGGTATTAAGAATATAAATTCCCACCCCCGTTAAACTTTACATTCAATTGGGAAGATCAACAAAGGTATTAGGGAAGTTAAAGTCCCACCCCCGTTAAACTTCTACATTCATTGAAGATCTTCAATAAGGGTTTAATTCTCCCACCCCCCGTTAAACTTCTACATTCATTGAAGATCTTCAATAAGGGTTTAGTTCTCCCACCCCCGTTAAACTTCTACATTCATTGAAGATCTTCAATAAGAGTTTAGTTCTCCCACCCCCGTTAAACTTCTACATTCATTGAAGATCTTCAATAAGGGTTTAATTCTCCCACCCCCAGTTAAACTTCTACATTCATGGAAGATCTTCAATAAGAGTTTAGTTCTCCCACCCCCGTTAAACTTCTACATTCATTGAAGATCTTCAATAAGGGTTTAATTCTCCCACCCCCGTTAAACTTCTACATTCATTGAAGATCTTCAAAAAGGGTTTAATTCTCCCACCCCCGTTAAACGTCTACGTTCATTGAAGATCTTCAATAAGGGTTGAATTCTCCCACCCCCGTTAAACTTCTACATTCATTGAAGATCTTCAATAAGGGTTTAATTCTCCCACCCCCGCTAAACTTCTACATTCATTGAAGATCTTCAATAAGGGTTTAATTCTCCCACCCCCGTTAAACTTCTACATTCATTGAAGATCTTCAATAAGGGTTTAATTCTCCCACCCCCGTTAAACATCTACATTCATTGAAGATCTTCAATAAGGGTTTAATTCTCCCACCCCCGTTAAACTTCGACATTCATTGAAGATCTTCAATAAGGGTTTAATTCTCCCACCCCCGTTAAACTTCTACATTCATTGAAGATCTTCAATAAGGGTTTAATTCTCCCACCCCCCGTTAAACTTCTACATTCATTGAAGATCTTCAATAAGGGTTTAGTTCTCCCACCCCCGTTAAACTTCTACATTCATTGAAGATCTTCAATAAGGGTTTAATTCTCCCACCCCCCGTTAAACTTCTACATTCATTGAAGATCTTCAATAAGGGTTTGATGATGATGATGGTGATGATGCTGATGATGATGATGATGTTGATGATGATGCTGTTGTTGCAACAGTCAACGCACAGGTAGCTAAGCTGTACGTTTCAAGATGAAAGCCATGATCATGGAAACCTCCCAGCTCCCAAAACCAACCCTCCGCGCGTCCGCGCACCTGTCACGCCCACCTTGCCGTTGCACCAACGCTGACGTCTCATCCAGGCCACCGTGGCTTCGCCGTCCACTTGTTCCTGGGAATTCTCCCCGTTTTTTATGGGAGAAACCATAGGAAACCTGTGGGAAACCTATGGGAAAGCCGTATTTATATATATCTATATATATATATACATATATATATATATATGGGATAAACATAGGAAAATTATAGGAAATGATGGGAAAATCCGCTAAATCATGGACATTCAAATGGGGAAAATCATGGGGAAAGACGGAAAAAGCCTCTGTAAATGGAGGCTGAGGAGCTGGGAAAAGCATCGAAATAAATGGGGAGGGTAACTATGGCATATTAGTGGGATTTAATGTGGTACGAATAAGCGTGGATTGTAACTATGGAGTAAACCTAGCTATAATGGATGATTACTAGAATGGTATCTAGATTTTTTAGGGTACTAGTGCATTACAACTAGGTGAACGTAGATGTCTCTTTTTGAATGTAGATAGATCTACAATTAGATGGGGATAAACTATCGATCTGTTGAGATTGGAAATTTGATCCAACAACCATTGTTGCGATGCTTAATCGACCTTTTCATGGGATAAAAATGGTGAATAGGACATGCCGATGGATATATACATCTTTATTTCAAACGAAGGTAAGGGGTGAACCAACAGAACTGCTGCCCAACAACAGCAAGGGAATCAATAACTGATCTTTAGGACTTTGCCATTGAATTCAAAAGTCTGGATGAAGGTTTTTCTACCTTCTCAATGGTATGTGCCTGTCTCAACCCTCCTCCCTGTATCAAAGGTGCTTTCTTTTTCCCTTCCTCAAAGGTCCTGGTTTCCCAGCCGTATTCCTGGAAAACTTTCCCATATTCGAAGGATTTCTCAGGGCCAAGTGTTTTCCCACAGTGAAGGCTCGCGCTCAAGGCTGCAAAAAAAAATAAAAATAAAATAAAATCCCGGAGACAAACCCATACCCGGGGGAAGAACACTTGCGACCGAACATTGCAAATATGCATAAAACATGCTACGTGTTTTTATCAATGGTATGTGCCCGTCTTAATTTTTTATTTTTATTTATGTTTTTTTTCTCCCCGGAGGTCCCGGAGAGGAACCCTTGGAATTTCTTCCCCCGGAGGTCCCGTAGAGGAACCCTTGAAACCCTTTTGCTCGTTTTTTTCTCTTCGTCGTCTTTCGTCGTCCGTCGCGTTTCAATGGGGATCCTTGAGACAGACACTTGACCTGAGCAAGACCACAAACGAGAAAGTACCTTGGTGCAGACCTTCGATTAATCCCCAATTTTCTCGCTAATGGGATGGCTTTGGATATGCATATATGCATAATTGTATATATATATATATATACATACAGACTTATATACACATAGATTCTGAACCATACCTATATATCACCGGCAAAAGGTGGTGGACTTTAGCGAGAAATGAGATTTATGTCAGGCAACTGACTGAGCCCTGGGGTAAGTCTGACAAAGTGCTGCTACCAGCTCCATATCTCTAGATCTCTGATTTCTCTGTAAGTTTAAGTCTTCCTTGTAGACACCAGATAGAAAAGCAATTCATCACTATTTTACTTAGCTTATGTAGGACTGCTTAGTGGTTTCAACCCCTCTGAAAAATATTAGTCAGTTGGGGTGATTATTCCCAATGTATGGAAAAAAAAAATGTTCCAAACCACCAACCAGATAATGTCACAAACCCAATAGTAAACCATCCCCAAGATTGCCATAAATGGATGGTATAATCCATCCAAAATTGGAGGTTTATTATTGGGTTTACCCTATTATTAAGAAAACCTTCCCTTTTTTTCCACATTCAAACTGCCGGCCTCTCGAGCGCAACAGCGAGCAGCAAAAGACAGCGTAGAGCTAAATTAAATGTGCAACGTCAAATCAACAGGTGCCCGGGTCGCTGTTTCCATTCTTAAGAAAACCTTCCCAAATACCCCATGATTATGAAAACCTTCCCAAATCTACTATTTTTTGGGGGTATGATCACCCATACATACCCATACCCCATATTCACTTTGTTGGGAGGCTCGCAGAGTCGAAACTCCCATGTATTTCCCAATTTTGGATGGTTAAATACCGGTAAACCTACAGCTTAAATCAGATCACGAGCTTGACTACTGGATCAAATCCAATAGAAAGTTTAGGTAAATTCATAAGATTACTGTAAAATACCCTCTGGTAAACTGCTACATAACCATGGAAAGATCCACCATGCTATTAGTGGGTAAATCAACGAACTGTCGACTGGGCCATTTTCCAGTTCGCAAACTGTAACAGTCATTACCAAGCCGGGTACTGTAAAAATAAAAAATAACCCGCCATTTATATCCAACATGATCCCAGTCATCCCGTTATACTCCCCATGATTTCCCCATGTGAGTTATGTATCCAAAACACATCTCCCAAAACACATATCCCCAGAATTACCCATGTGTGTTCCATTCGATCATCATATCTCCCGTTCTTTCCCCAGTATTTCCTAAATATACGTATATATATATATATATGTATACATATGTAACCAGAGTTTTCTCATGATGTCCTCATTTATCCCATTGAGTTTATCCCATTGCCCCCATCTAACCTTGGCCCAGCGTCATGTTGCACCGGCACAAATTCGCCGCTGCTGGAGAAACGTCCGCGGGTATCTTGCACCAGCACCGCATAGCCCTGCTTCGCCAGGACACCTTGGGTTTAGCAAACGGGGAGATCAAGTGATATACCAGGCCCCCTCCAAAAAAAAACATAGAAAAAGATGCCCTAAGTTGGAAAATCCCAATTTTGAAATAGCGATTTGTTCATGATGTGTCTATATGTTTCTATATGTTTCTATCTTTTTGGTGGGCTGCAAAATGGACAGTGTTGTTTGTCCATTAGATAGCTGTCAATGAGTGATAGTTATCAATGAGTGATAATAGTTGTCAATGAGAGATTTTAGATATTATCTTCTCGTTCCGTCTCAAAGACTTCAAAATTTTGTAAGTGTTGAAAGTTGTTGATAACTATTGAAAATTTTTGTTCTTACAATAACCAAGCGAAACATGGACAGATTTGCTGTGAACTTGGTGAAAACTTCCAAGGGTAAATCGATGCCACTTGGTATTGGTAAAAAAAAATACCTGGATTTCGGCAATCAATCATAAAGCGGGTATGATTTTAAATTTAGCAAGTTAAACCATGGAGAGTCGGGAAATGATGGCCGTGTTTACGCTTTAAAAAAAAAGCAACAAAAAATATGGAGATGAACCATGAGGACGACCGAACAAAGTGTAATACGTACTCAACAGCACCAACCGCGAAGCGAACGAATACCCCTTGTCCAGATGCAGCGTGGGTTTTTGAGCTTCTAGCCATTCGAGTGTTGATAACCATTTCAAAGACAACACGAGAATCTCTGCACACCTATTTGGAGCACCCAAGTGCACAAGTGCATCTCTCCGGTCAGTAAATCCCCGATTCCTGTGCAGTAAGCTACACCGGCGTTGCTTTCATCCTCATTGCTTCTTGCTACATCCTCCCGTTCTTCTTGGCCAAATGCTTCTTTTCATATGTTTTCTTGGGGTTGATTGAAATCCCAATTCGTGTCTGTCGAATCCCCATTTAAGGCTAGGTCGCTCCAAAATCTGCGTTCAACAAATCCCCAGCCGTCGGTCCTCATTTTCTGATGAAATCGCCCATTTATCCGGACAATGAGGATTGTTAGCCATGGAAAATCACCATTTTTAATAGGTAAACTGGTAAACCATCTACAAATAGGCCATGGCTTCCATGGCAAACTGTTAGTCATAACCAGAGGGTATCCATTTTCTTGTTGCTTACCTTTTGCGAAAATTCCATGGCTGATCCCGTTGACGTCCCCCAAGCCTCCGCCCCAAGCGCACAACCACGGCACTTTGGCCCATCTCAGCCTTGCGGCCGTAGGGCGTCCGCAGCAGCACCGCGGGAAAAGGGCCTTCCACGCCTCGGAACAGGTCAGGCTCCAGGTGGAGCAGCTTTTCTCGAAAAAATGGGGAGCCCAATTTTGGGTTTTTATAAACCTATGTAGCTATACAATCATATAGGTTTTATGAGATAATTATGGGAAATGTATAGCTACAAGTAAGTTGATTTTTTTCAGCCAGGTGCGAATCACTGTGGTATTGATGAGGATTTACGGATTCTAGTAATCGCTATCAGGCGTTCGACATGCAGCAAGTCTTATTAGCTCAAATCCCCCTATGTCCTATGTCTTGTCAGGCATCAGATCCCCATCTCCCATTCTTTGGTCCACACCTTCAGGAAGTAGCAGGCTGCCACGCAAAAGAATCCCATCCACCACCGCCGTGTCGATGCTGGTCACGCTAAAGCTGCACCGAGGAGCTACGCCCCTGGAGGGAAAATGTCACTCACCAGCAACTGGGGATCATTGGGGATTACCCTCTGGTAAACATACAAAAAACTATGGAAAATCACCATTTTTAATGGGAAAATCCACTATTTCTATGGTCATTTTCAATAGTTTTTTGTATGTTTACCAGAGGGTAAGAAGTGGAATCTAATGGCTTACTCATTTCTGAGAGCTAAATCAACTATAAATGGGATTTTTTCGTGGAATCTAATGGGATAGAGATATAGTTGTCCCGGAGAGTTCAAGGTGAGGGATTTTACCGGAGAGTTGATTGCTATCCCGTGACATGCTGGCTGGTGATAGGGTTTTTAATATATTCGCAATCTACCAAGTGGTATCACTTTTTTTGGGGCACTGCTCCAATGTGGATTTCATCAGCCAAATCTTGAGATTTTTTCATGGATTTTGAGGAACCGGCATCTGTTTCCGAAACGAGAAAAATGTGAGATGTGACAATGGCAGATTCCATACAGATTCGATCCAAAGCTCGTGACATCCCACGACTGAAAGTCCCAAAAAAAATATGTGTTGCCGGAATTTCACTCTTAAAATGGTGATTAAAGATTCCATGGTAAAAACGTTTTTTCATCCCCATGTGAGCCATGAAAAAGATTCTCCCATCTCATGAAATACTAGTTGGTTGATAGGTGTCCCAATCCTATGTCCTATGGCTAGTTTTTAATCCCCAGTATAGTAGGTAGTTTTTTAGTCCCTAGTTCGCAAGCAATCAACCAGGCGATTTTGCTGATGGCTCAGGTAAATCCCATTATAATCCCATTAAATCCCACTAAAAAATCAACTATAAATGGGATTTTTTAGTGGGATTTAATGGGATTATAATGGGATTTACCTATCAAAATGTTAGTTTACCTATCAAATTATAATATAATCCCATTTTATAGTTTGATTTACCTATCAAAAGTTGGGATTCTCCATCGCAAACTGTAAACGTTTACTGGAGGCTAATTATATATAACCATACACGACCCATGGATAATTGAGGATATTCCACTAATTTAGCTGGTTTTTTTACCACTATAATCCCATAATAACCCCATTTAGAGTTGATTTACCTATCAAAAATGGTGGAATTTCCATAGCTATAGTTGATTTGCCATTATATAATCCCATTATAATCCCATTATAAAATTCCTATGATATTCCCATTATAATGGGATTATAATGGGATTATATGGGAATATAATTTAGTTGGTTACTTTCTGATTTGCCATGACATAATGATATCTCTCTGATTATAAATATTCCCATTATATATATATATATATATTATAGCTGATTATAGTTGATTATGGCAAATAATGGGAATATTTATCTATAATAACATTATAATTGATTATAGTTGATTTGATGGTTGACATTAATTCCCATTGATTATATAATGATATCCCTCTGATAATCACCCATTATAAATATTCCCACTGTTTGCCATTGATTTGCCATTACATAATAATCCCATATTAGTATGCCCATTATAATCCCATATCCCTCTGATTATAGATTATTATCCCATTACAATGTATTCCCATTATAGTTGATGTGCCATTACCCTCTGGTAAACTAACATAACTATGGAAAATCACCATTTTTAGTGGGTAAATCAACTATTTCTCTGGCCATTTTCACTAGCTATGTTAAATTACCAGAGGGTAGTTGATGTGCCACTACATATTCCCATTATAGTTGATTTAATGCATATTGTAATCCCATTATAATCCCATGAATGGTTGATGTTGACCTCCGAAATCACCACCACCACCACCACCACCACCGAGCCGCTGCTCCCGATGCTTCAGCAGCCGCGATAGGCCCAGGGCCTCGCTGGTCACCACCTTGGCCGCCTGGCCAGGTCGAAAGATGGGGTGGAGTCCTAGGGGTGAAGCCATAACAATTTACCCGGCCTGGTAAACATACAAAAAGCTATTGAAAATGGCCATAGACATAGTTGATTTACCCATCGAAAATGGTGATTTTCCATAGTTATGTAAACGTTTACCAGAGGGTAAATCAAGCCAGAATCAATGGGAAATTCAGGATCCTAAAATGGAGCTAATGTATGCTACTGTACCATATTGTTGGCCATATTTTGTGGGGATATTCCCTGAAATTTAGGCCTTAAAAATAGGCCTTACATATGGTAGGTACCTCCAATTTAGGTTCCTGAGATGGCCAGTGACATAACAATATAAATCGAATGGTGGCTACCCTCTGGTGAACATACAAAAAACTATGGAGAAAAAACTCATTTTTATTGGGAAAACTCACTATACTATAAATGGTCATTTTCAATAGCTATGTTAAATGAGACATAAATATAGTTTAATGGAACTAGGACATTATGGAACTAGATGGAACTAAGGGTTTATTATAACATAAACATAATTTGTCCTTCCATTTCCATAAATCGAATGGTGGGTATATTACTGGTTGGTGGTTTCAACCCCTCTGAAAAATATGAAAGTCAGTTGGGATTATTATTCCCAATATATGGAAAAATAAAGAATGTTCCAAACCACCAACCAGATTATATACCCTCCGGTAAATTAAAATGACGACCCTGCCATTCATCGGGGTTGGAAGACTAGTTTCCACTATAAATTGGTTGTTTTCAGGGTCTATGTTAGTTTACCAGGGGGTATTTTAACATAGCTATGGAAGCCATGACCCATAGAAATAGATGATGCACCTATTAAAATGGTGATTTTCCATGGCAATGTAAAATAGCCAAAGGGTAAATCTAATGGTGGGTATATTATATATATATATAAATGAAACAATGATTTTTGTGCAGCCTGTCATCCCTTTTGTCAATGGATTGGTTGATGGGAAAATCTACAGGAAACCATGGTTTATACCATGAAATTGATCGGCTTTCCTGAGGATTTTCCCTTAAACCAATCCAATGATCAATATAACAATATGAATATAATGGGGATATATGTATGCAGGTCAACAACATCAATATATAATGGAAGAACATATATCAATAATAATAATCTGGATTTTGATATGATATATATAAATACCCTACAGATCCAGCCGTACCTTCTTAGGAAGTGGAGTATGATTTGGGGGGTGTCTTGTGCCTTCTCAGGGAGAACGGTTGGATCCATAGGGATATATATATAATGGAATATCACCAATCTATAGATTAATGATATATCAATTGGAATATAGGCTATTAATACTATTGTTAGAGTATTGTTTTATAATGGTGATCAAGGTGTTAGTAGTATTGTATATATATATATACAGCATATACTACATTATACATATATATATGTGGTAATTGTGTTACAATTTTTAAAAACTAATATCCTATAATTGGTGATGATAGTATCCGCTGTTATTGATTGAAATCCTTGATATAGCACTATAATATGACCATCAATATGCAATGTTGATATTAGTATAATCCTATGATTATGGTGATATAATGGAATACATAACTAATATAACTTTATAATCTAATATAGCCATCAATCATGAGAAAAGTTTGATTTGGGCAGCAAAAAAATGTATTTCATTTAGTCAAAATGTGGATTTTAAGTGATTGAACCATCGATGAGGATTGAACGATAGGTAGAATATACATGGAGATTTTGGCATCCAAATGGTTGAATTGATCCAATTAAAATGGGGATTGAAGCCGGTTAGAACATGGAAATGTTTGAGAGTGAACTACCGTAGGTATGAGAGCTAATCCGAGTAAATCAAGTCATGATCCTGCAATAGTAAATAGATTTATTCATTGGGATCATGAATTGTGATTGTCTTGCCACTGAAGAATGTATCTAAGCGGACCGTCTATTTCCTAATTTATTCTTCACAGAAATAACATTCTAGAAATCACTATAAATGGATACTCTATGAAGAGGATTGAACATCCCTGGCTTCGCTTAAGGAACAAAAAATATATATCCCCTATCGTCTCCCCAAGTAGTGAATTTCCCATTGGGCAAATAAGCCAAATCACCTTGAACAAACCAGGACCCCAGGTTTGTCAATATTGTAATCCTTTCCCATTAAGGCTCCGAGCCTTAGTGGACTTTCCTATCCTGTCCCATGATTGTCCGATGAAAAACGCCTGCAGCATGAAGCCCCTGGCGCTGTGCTGATTGCGAAAGCTGGACCACCATTGAGACCTGCGCTGGACCACCCTTGTGGGAAGGGGATGACAAAATGTGGGGTTTCTCTGAATAAGTTTATGGTGATTCTCCCTATTAAATAGCCATTCTTGGGGTATGCCAGACACACCCATATTTTACCATGGTTGTGGAATATCACCTGTGAGTATCATTTTATATTCCATGCGTTTGGGAAGTAATGTCATTGCATACCATGGATAATTGGATTGTAAGCCCTACTATGAGTGGAGTGTGTAATATTATACCATGGTTGTTTTCGGCTTGCGATGCCTGCGATGCACATCCAAGTATGTTTAACTCAACAAAGTATTGTCTAATGGTATTGAAAATGAAAAACAAAAAAGAATCTACACCAATGGGTTTGGGTGTAGACCCCATTTCGAAACCTAGAACAGACTATGACTATCCCGTGTCCATTCTTGCAGGAAAAAGATCATTACCGGTGTATACAATAAAACACACCTGACCAGGGTCACCAGCGGCCGCTTCAGAAATCCAGGCACCCAAGGATTCAAATTACCCACTGCTATATAATTTAACGCAAACGTGGAAAGCCCATGGGGAAAGCCGTTCGGAAAACGATCCACAAATGGTGGGTAAAACCCAGATCTATGTTAGTGTAAACAGGAGGGTGCTATATATAGATTGATTGGATTAGTGTCGATTTGACTAGACTGGATTTGCTTACAAGATAGATTGGATTGATGCCTACTATAGATTGGATTAGATTCGGATGAGAATGATTAAGATCAGATAACAAATATGTGATACCATAAGATTGGAATACAGTAGAATAGATAAATAACTAGGTTCTATTCTTAGAAAAATAGATTAAACAAATCTATGTAAATATTCCACCAAATCACTGGTGCTTGAGAAGGGAATTTCCCTAGTGGATTGTGATAATACCCAATTAATATCAATTAATATTGGTTTAACATGAAGAAACATGAAGAAACCTGAGTTATCATGAGTTCATAGCCCATCTACGAATCATCAACCAACAATAATGTGGTTAAAACAATGTGATAAACAATCCCCCAGTCATCACCATTATAGGTGGTATGTTTACGCGCAAACCCCCCAGTTCGCCCACACAACTTCTTAGGGATTTTGAAGGAATATAAATTCCGACCCCCGTTAAACTTTACATTCAATTGGGAAGATCAAACAGGGGATTAGGAATGTAAATTCCCACCCCCGTTAAACTTTACATTCAATTGGGAAGATCAACAAGGGGATTAGGAATATAAATTCCCACCCCCGTTAAACTTTACATTCAATTGGGAAGATCAACAAGGGGATTAGGAATGTAAATTCCCACCCCCGCTGAACTTTAGATTCAATTGGGAAGATCAACAAGGGGATTAGGAATATAAATTCCCACCCCCGGTTAAACTTTACATTCAATTGGGAAGATCAACAAGGGGATTAGGAATATAAATTTCCAACCCCGTTAGACTTTACATTCAACTGGGAAGATCAACAAGGGCATTAGGAATAGAAATTCCCACCCCCGTTAAACTTTACATTCAATTGGGAAGATCAACAAGGGGATTAGGAATATAAATTCCCACCCCCGCTGAACTTTAGATTCAATTGGGAAGATCAACAAGGGGATTAGGAATATAAAATTCCAACCCCGTTAGACTTTACATTCAATTGGGAAGATCAACAAGGGCATTAGGAATAGAAATTCCCACCCCCGTTAAACTTTACATTCAATTGGGAAGATCAACAAGGGGATTAGGAATATAAATTCCCACCCCCGCTGAACTTTAGATTCAATTGGGAAGATCAACAAGGGGATTAGGAATATAAATTCCCACCCCCGTTAAACTTTACATTCAATTGGGAAGATCAACAAGGGTATTAGGAATATAATGATGAAGATGAAGATGAAGATGAAGATGAAAATGATGATGATGATGATGATGATGATGACGTCGTCGTCGTCGTCGTTGTTGTTGTCGTTGTTGTTGTTGTAACATTCAACGCACAGGTAGCTAAGCTGTGTTTTGCAAGATGAAAGCCATGATCATGGACATGTGCATTTTGTCCCACAAAACACAGTGTTTTTTGATGTTCGGACATGTCGTCGGCGTCGGCGCGGGCAAACTGAGGGGTTTGCCCGTATGTTTACCATTCCCAGTCATGGGTGGTAAAAATGGCATTGTTTACCCACATTATATGGAGGTTTCCTGAAATGGGGGTACCCCTAGTTCTCATCATATTATAGATTGGGATTTTCCATGAAATACCCTCTGGTAATTTAACATAGCTATTGAACATGACCAATTATATTGGATTTTCCCATGAAAAATTGTGATTTTCCATAGTTATGTTAGTTTACCAGAGGGTAAACCATCCAGCTATTGGGGATCCCCCATGGAAACCCATCAAACCCATCAAACCTGTCGTCCGCCATGGCCAGGCTTCACAGGGCCAGGTGCAGGGCTCAAGCGAGATCTCGCTGGAGCCAAAATGGACAAATCATGGGAAAATCCCATGGGAAATCCATGGGATAATCACTTCGAAGTCATGGGAAAATGGCGTTTCTTTAACGAAAACATGGGGATTTCATGGGTCAAAACTAGATGGTTTATGATAGCTCAGTTGACGTACATACCTGGTGAACTGTTGGCTTTAGGAGGGCTCACCCTGTACCTTAAAGTTGCCATTTCGATGTGGAGTGAGTTAGGGTTTCGAGGGGATTTCAGGGGGATTACTTGACATTTCATGATTACCCATATTTAACAGGGAAAACTGTTGGTTTGTTGGGAACTTCATTCAGGGATGAACCCAGAAAAAATGGGGATTTAAAAATGTGAGCTACTTGGTGGGTCCATGGTCATTTAAACGGACAGTTTAGATGTTAAACCATCAGCTTTTTCGATACCATGGCGACACAACCAACAATATGGGAATGTACAAGGTGGGATCCCCCTGTTGTTGTAAGTTGGCTTGAAACCAATCTAACTATACTCCCCATAAACTCGAGTTATTGTAGTTACAAACCAACTTGGCTAACTATAGGGTGCCACCTTGTACCTACTCACAAAATAGGGATGGTATGTATTCGGATATGATTGTAATATGATGAGAATGTCTCGGAAATTATTTAGTGGGATCTAATATAAATAATTAAATAATGACTTGTGGAAATAACATGGGAAGATCATGGCAAGGTCATCAATAGATATGTAAATGTGTCCATATTTTTCTCTCGATCTGGGTGTTTGATTGAAGTAATTTGGTAACTGATTCTTGTACATTGTATTCGTCCATAACTATGGCTTTCAATACTAAGTCAGGGTCATCCATGACGACTGGATGATTTGGGGCTACAGTACCCCCATGTTAGGAAACCTCCACAAAGCCACCCGGCCTGGTAAACATACAAAAAACGAACTGGAAAATCACCATGCGATTTTCATGGGTAAATCAACTATGTCACTATGTCGACTGGGCCATTTTCAAGTTCGCTAACCGTTTCAAAAACCAGGCCGGGTAACCTGAAGAATCAAAGCATGGGGCTGATTCCCAGTCCCCCGGAATGATTGGAATGAACGGAACCGAACAAAGTGAAGGTCCCCGATGTTTGTTTGCCTGGAAAAATCCATAGTCCGCCATGGTCCGCAACTCGATTATAACTATGTAAAAAATGTAAATCTACAATTCACAAATCTTAAAAGCGATATGATAGATTCTTAAAAGTGATGTGATAAATTCACAAATCTTCAACTATGTTAACTTCTTGGATGACAACAATTCACAAATCTCAAAAGTTCGGCCATTTAAGGGGATGATTCCCACAATTCAATTTCCATCATTCCAGTCAGTGACGGAAAGAAGTGAGGTCACAACAGAATTTATCCAGTGAGGTCACCAGCTAAGTTGCCATTCTATTCCTATTCTATCCCCATTGTACCACCATTTTTTATGGTTTACTTCCCATTTTTGATGGTTCAGTAGCCCCCCATCTCTGGGAGTGTGCCCAATGCCGGAGATAGAAAAAGCTCGCGATTGGCGATCCTCCCACTTGACTATTTGGCAGTTGGGCTCTGCGGTAATACTGTCCTTTTAGGAACACTAGGAGGGCCGGCGACTGGATTCTCCGAAAAATAATCTGCCGGTTGTTGAATGCAACCCTCTATTCATCCACCAACCAGAGGACAAACCTACTGCAGTTATGAGTGCTTCAGTGTTTCCATAGTTTCGACTCTAAGAACTGTGGCCCCGGAAAAACATCGCTCCCTGATTGATGATTAGAGCACAGAATCTACGGGAAGCCATCTGCGAGTCGACATCCAAGCTGGCAAGTGTGAATCCCAAAACAATGGTGTTTTGTGTTGAACAAAAAAAGAGTTCAACACCAGAAAATAAGAAATAAGAAAATCTCTCAAAAACACCATATATATACATATACATATATATGTATATATAGTAGGTTCCCTGTTGAAACGCCGGGAGTTCACGTCCCTCCTGGTGTCACCGGGCGCCCGCGACGGTGGCACTGTGAGGCCCGGAACACTGGCCATCTCGAACTGATGTGGGAGCTGATGGAAGAAGTTTCATGATTTTGAATTATATTATACATAGTGTATGTATATATATATATACACATATATATGTATATATACTGTGTATATATATATGTATATACACATAATGTATATATGAATATACATGATTTTGAATTATATATATATATAAACATATGTATATATACTGTATATATATATATACATATACATATCATATATATATATATACGGAGAGGGACAGAGATTAATGTGTATATATATATATATATATTCAACCATGAATATAACCATCATAATCATGTTTGGATATACTTTCTCGCATTTGAATGGAGGGTTTACCACAAGAAACGAGGATATCATGATGATGAATGACGGTAGATAAAACATGATGAGAACCGTTGAGATGAAGTGAGATAAGATTGGAGAGATTCTAACATTTATATACAAACGATGAATCTAGGGATGTTTTTTTGGGGTTACCAACTAGGAGTTCTTGAATTTGTTTGGGCCATGAATTTACCAAGCATGAAGAGAATATCATGGCAGCATTGTATGGCACAATTAGGGGACCCATTCCCATAGAAGCGTCCCATCTGTACTTTGCTTGTAGGTACCTGGCAAAAGTCCATGCTCATCATCTACAGGATGGAGTATGAAGATAGTAGATGTGTAGCTGTCCATACATATGTATATATATATATATACTTTATATATACATATATATATATAAGATATGTACATATATATATATATATATATATCCGCCGACCCCGCCTTAGCCAAGGCAGGGGCGGCGCCTGGGACCACCGCAGGTGTGGAACTTTTTTTCCCAATGCTTTGCACTTTCCACGAGCCACCCAGGCCATAGCACCCTCTGTTCACCGCCCAGGTGCCACTCAGGCCACAGCAATTTCTGTGCACTTCCCACGAGCCACTCATGCCACAGCAATCTCTGTTTCTACGGCGTTCCAAAACGCAACAGGCCGCGGCAGACCTTTCCTGCAGCTCCAACAAGTCCCTGAGGCCCTGGCAGTGTCCTTTTAAGGAGGTTCAAGGCTGCCGTTTGCCAGCCCGCAAAACTCCCCCAAACCCTCCCCTGCAGCTCCCAGGCGCCACTCAGGCCGCGGCAGACCTTTCCTGCAGCTCCAACAAGTCCCTGAGGCCGTGGCAGCGTCTTTTTATGGACGTTCAAGGCTGCCGTTTGCCAGCCCTCAAAACTCCCCAAACCCTCCCCTGCAGCTCCCAGGCGCCACTCAGGCCGCGGCAGACCTTTCCTGCAGCTCTAACAAGTCCCTGAGGCCGTGGCAGCGTCTTTTTATGGACTGCCGTTTGCCAGCCCGCAAAACTCCCCAAACCCTCCCTGCAGCTCCCAGGCGCCACTCAGGCCGCGGCAGACCTTTCCTGCAGCTCCAACACAGCGTCTTTTTATGGACGTTCAAGGCTGCCGTTTGCCAGCCCGCAAACCTCCCCAAACCCTCTCTGCAGCTCCCAGGCGCCACTCAGGCCGCGGCAGACCTTTCCTGCAGCTCCAACAAGTCCCTGAGGCCCTGGCAGTGTCCTTTTAAGGACGTTCAAGGCTGCCAGCCCGCAAAACTCGCCAAACCCTCCCCTGCAGCAGGCCGCGGCAGACCTTTCCTGCAGCTCCAACAAGTCCCTGAAGCCCTGGCAGCGTCTTTTTATGGACGTTCAAGGCTGCCGTTTGCCAGCCCGCAAAACTCCCCAAACCCTCCCCTGCAGCTCCCAGGCGCCACTCAGGCCGCGGCGGACCTTTCCTGCAGCTCCAACAAGTCCCTGAGGCCGTGGCAGTGTCCTTTTAAGGACGTTCAAGGCTGCCGTTTGCCAGCCCGCAAAACTCCCCAAACCCTTCCCTGCAGCTCCCAGGCGCCACTCAGGCCGCGGCAGACCTTTCCTGCAGCTCCAACAAGTCCCTGAGGCCGTGGCAGCGTCTTTTTATGGACGTTCAAGGCTGCCGTTTGCCAGCCCTCAAAACTCCCCAAACCCTCCCCTGCAGCTCCCAGGCGCCACTCAGGCCGCGGCAGACCTTTCCTGCAGCTCCAACAAGTCCCTGAGGCCGTGGCAGTGTCCTTTTAAGGACGTTCAAGGCTGCCGTTTGCCAGCCCTCAAAACTCCCCAAACCCTCCCCTGCAGCGTTTGCCAGCCCGCAAAACTCGCACTCAGGCCGCGGCAGACCTTTCCTGCAGCTCCAACAAGTCCCTGAGGCCCTGGCAGTGTCCTTTTAAGGACGTTCAAGGCTGCCGTTTGCCAGCCCGCAAAACTCGCCAAACCCTTGCCTGCAGCTCACAGGCGCCACTCAGGCCGCGGCAGACCTTTCCTGCAGCTCTAACAAGTCCCTGAGGCCGTGGCAGCGTCTTTTTATGGACGTTCAAGGCTGGGCTGCCGTTTGCCAGCCCGCAAAACTCCCCAAACCCTCCCCTGCAGCTCCCAGGCGCCACTCAGGCCGCGGCAGACCTTTCCTGCAGCTCCAACAAGTTCCTGAGGCCCTGGCAGTGTCCTTTTAAGGACGTTCAAGGCTGCCGTTTGCCAGCCCGCAAAACTCGCCAAACCCTCCCCTGCAGCTCCCAGGCGCCACTCAGGCCGCGGCAGACCTTTCCTGCAGCTCCAACAAGTCCCTGAGGCCGTGGCAGTGTCCTTTTAAGGAGGCTCTTATTTCTTTTTTGTTTTCGTTGTCTTTTTCTCGGGAACGTGCCACTGCTTGTTGTGACATGGTTTTCCCGATGGCATGTCATGCTTGACAGCAATGCGGCCACATGACAGCGATGACCAAACAACAGTGGAGCAGACCGGGTAACTGTGCGCATGACGCCGTGTCTGCTTGCTGACTTCACCGTCCTTGACGTAAAATTGATTGTTGCACACAGAT